CACAGCCCTTTGCTCCTCCCTCAGTATGAATGGAGACCAGAAATCAGATATTTATGCCCAAGAAAAGTAGGATTTCGTTCAGCACTTCTTCCAGATCGTTAGGGTACTGACTGAGGATGAGGTGGGGGACCCAGAGACAGGAGATGCTATTGCCCGGCTCAAGGAGGTCCTGGAGTACATTGCCATTGGAGGCAAGTATCACCAGGGTTTGATGGTGCTAGTGGCATTCCAGGAGCTGGTGGAGCCAAGAAAACAGGATGCTGATAGTCTCCAGCAGGCCCTGACTCTGGGCTGGTGTGTGGAACTGCTGCAAGCTTTCTTCCTGGTGACAGATGACATCATGGATTCATCCCTCATCTGCCGGGGACAGGTCTGCTGGTATCAGAAGCTGGGCATGGGTTTGGACGCCATCATTGCTGCTATCCTTCTGGAAGCATGTATCTATCGCCTGCTGAAGCTCTACTGCCGGGAGCAGCCCTATCACCTGAACCTGATTGAGCTCTTCCTGCAGAGTTCTTATCAGACTGAGATTGGGCAGACTCTGGACCTCATCACAGCCCCCCAGGGCAATGTAGATCTTGGCAAATTCATGGAAAAGAGGTACAAATCTACTGTCAAGTACAAGACAGCTTTCTACTCCTTCTACCTTCCTGTAGCTGCAGCCATGTACATGGCAGGAATTGATGGTGAGAAGGAGCACGCCAATGCCAAGAAGATCCTGCTGGAGATGGGAGAGTACTTTCAGATTCAGGATGATTACCTTGACTTCTTTGGGGACCCCAGTGTGACCAGCAAAATTGTCACTGACATCCAGGACAACAAATGTAGCTGGCTGGTAGTTCAGTGTCTGCAATGGGCCACTCCGGAACAGTACCAGATCCTGAAGGAGAATTATGGGCAGAAGGAGGCCGAGAAGGGGGCCCAGGTGAAGGCATTATATGAGGAGCTGGATCTGCTGGCTGTGTTCTCACAGTTTGAGGAAGACAGTTACAGCCACATTATAGTTCTCGTTGAACAGTACGCAGTGCCCCTGCCTCCAGCTATCTTTCTGGGGCTTGCGTGCAATATCTACAAGTGGAAAAAGTGACGTAGAGACTGCAAGGGCGGGGAG